TAATTGTCTCTGTATCATAGAATATAATTTGTTAGTAAGTGAGAATGATCTTAGACTTATAAGTCTATGCACTTTTTTAGTAGCTGGTTTTTTAAAATTCTGTATGAATCTTTTAACTCTTTCCTTCCTAAAATTATTTCTCCTTATCAAATGGGATTGTTCGGTTTATTTTTGATAACATTACTTATTGACACCAAGATTTTTTGTCATGACTTGATGTTAAGAGTGTGAGAGGTGGTACAATTTGAAATTAGATATCACCAAATGCTTATGACAACATTATTGGCAATTTCCTTTTACAAATATTTTGCTATGTTTGGTTTTAATTCTATTTTTCTTAGTCTCATCTAACTGCTTGAGGATCTTTTTTTTCTATTATTGTGAATAAGAAAAAGCAGTATATTTTTAATCTCTCTCATGGCTTAATACAATGTGATCTATCTCTCTGCTCTTTTATTATTGTTGGGTGAGTATTTATCTAGATGTATTTCCAACCTCTTTGAAAATCTATCATGTCTTTATTTTAGAACTTTGGGTGGATTTTTTTATTTTCAGTTTATATTTGCTGATGCTTTTTGTCGTATTTACTAATGCTTCCTTCAAACAGGTAAATAGGCTGTTTTTCTTTTTCCAAAATTTGATGTAGGGGTCTTTCTCTGAACAAGATAGAGTTTTTTTTTTTGGACATTGTAGGCCATTTAAGGAAACTCACACACAAACGCATACACATAGACTCGAACAACCTGAACTCTTAGTTGGAAGCTAGCTCTCAACCATAGGCCAAGGAAGAGTTGTGTAACAAGAAATAAGAGTTATATTTATATTACTTCCAAACAAAGTGCCTTATGCCAATATTATTGGTATTAAAGGCCATACTGGTTTTGTGCAATGGTCATTTACCTATTAAGTACTCAGTGTTCTCTTTCAAAGGTAGGAGAAACTTTTTCTCTTTAAATGATTTGACTTACTTTGTTCATAACAACTATAATCTTGGATTTCTAATTCTTGAGTTTTAGGGGGTAGTCTGACTATTTTTAGTAAGGTTACTTTATCCTTCCTATTTATATATTCAAATTTAGTTCAATCTAACTTGTGCAGTTTCAATAAACTAATAATTATTTAATAATTTTTTTTTTAGAAAGGGAGAACCCTATCTAACTAAATCATAGAAAATTATTAGTCCTCTGTTGGGACAAATGCCTGTGGTGTATTGGAAGAAGAAGAGCTTCGGTTTGTAGAATATTCGTAGTGAGTTGCACTTAATAACTGTTTTCTCCTTCAAAATGTGGTACAACTTGTTCATCTAAAGTGAGCTCTTTGGACGAGAGGTGAAAATGTAGGCTAGGATATTGTTGTGGTAGGATAAAAAGAACCTAACTTGTATTTATAAATAAAATGGTGATTCTAAGAAGTGGCGGCAGAGAACTTGCAATATTTTAGGTGGGTATTGTTGAGACACCCACATTAATTTAGAAGTGTTATGGTGGGGTAAGTATCTTCTTTGTAGGGTAAATAATAAGTAGCTAGGAGAGCATCATTCTATAAAAATTTATTGTGGTAAATACTACTTCACTGCCATAAACGATTTAAGGAACTAATGTTTCATTACTAGGTAAATGAGTGATTGATCAAGAACGTAAATCTTTGTTGATTTTTTATCGTGAGTGTAATTATTCAAGTCAATTTTTGAGCCTTTTGCTATATAACACTGAATGATTTGATGATCTTATTTTATGATTTGTTCTAGATGATAGGTAGTTTTTAGAAGATTAAAGGAAGCTGATCATGCCTTCGCAAAATCTAAGAATGATACAACTAATTATATTTTTTCTATGATTTGGCAATAACGTATTACCTTCAACTATTGCTATTATGTCATTTGGTAAAATTTTGCATAAGTTCATTCCCACTACGAGTGATAAATTAATGTTAAATTATAGTGTTTTATCTTTAAGTTCCAAAGGTCAATGTTTAATTAATATGATGGGTCATTATTCATGTTTTGTCTTTTTGGTCCTATTAGCGTTTAAAAATTTGGACTTATTTTGTTGATATTTTTTTGATTAAAAATTATTTCAGTGCTAATTTTTCTATTAATGATTGCTTAACTCTTGGTTTATTAGTCTAAATGTCACATTAAATGTTTCTTCCTCTATATTTTGATTGGTTTGTATGGGCTGGAATAGAAATATTCTCTGTTGATGATATTGTATGAACCATCATATAATTATTAAAGGGTGAATGTGAAACGTTTAAGGTTTTGAGAACTGTTTTTCTGGTTAATTTAGGCTCTCTAACAAGAATTTAAGAATACTATCTTGTGACTCCTGTTTCTACTCGAAGCTGGCTTGTTTAATTAGATCAAACCACCTAATAACTAACTATAAAGCTGCAATACATTATGACTCTAAATCAATAGAGTCCATCTCAGGTTGAAGTGGTTATATTAGGGTAGTATTTATGGGGAATGAATTATTATGGCCTTTGAGGTCTTTTACTAAAAATGTTCTGTTAATTATGTGAGCTTTAGCTATTCTTCATGGGGCTTTAGATATGTATCTCTTTGCTTCCAACAATTGGATTCGATTGATATGCATCTATAGTATCTATTGTTTAAATATATACAGCTGATGATTATTGTTGTGATAATTCAAATCTTTTTTAAATCTTGTCTAAAAAAGATTAAGCAAGATGTTAAATCACCTTGTTAATTCAACAACCATGTCTCGAATGTGATTGTGGAGGAGAGGGAATGCTGTGCATAGGAATTGAGATTGATAATGTTAGGGTGTTGAATATTGAATTGTCTTTGATTGATTTCATCTACATACCAACTTACCTTATTTCTTTAAAGGGTCCCTTTAAAGATTAGAAAAATGGTCTTTCCCTTTATTAATATTAGTTGTTTGCTTTGATTGGAGCCCGTAAGATCTTCTTTTGTCTATTTGATGTGGGTTTATGTCTTCTTCTTTCTGCGGGTTTTTTTATGGTGTTTTTCCCTGTGTGGTCTGTTCTCTATTTTGTTTGTTTCATTTATTTATGCGTTCATCCCTGTGCTACTTATCTTTTACCAGGTTAGTTTCCTCGGGTTAACTTTCTAAATGGGGTTATCTGCATCATGTAGCTTGGTAAGTTTGGTGGTGTGCTATGATTTTCACATGGTTCCATCTACTGTTGTTCTCTGGTATTTACGTGTGATGATATTTTCTTTGGTCCTTCCTTCTTCTCCTAGTCTTTTGGGAGTGCTTTGTACAGTTGTTTGGTTGGTACATTCCTTTTTGCATTTTGCTTTTGGTTACTTCCATACTTCATTCAAGGATTCTTTGAGCTTTGTTGGGTCTGGGTTTAGACTGAGTGATCATTGGGTTGTGTTTTTGATGGCATTTTAGGTTCTAATTTGTAGCTCAGGAGGCCATTTATTAGTTATCTACTGGGTTTTGACTAAATTTTCCAACTATGTTATTTGTTTGGTTGTTTTGGAACTGGTATTTTCATGGAGCTATGTAGTGGCACCTTTCATTAATTAACTTACAATTTTTTATATGAGTTCTGTTATCTATATTCTCTTTATCAGGAGTAAGAAAGTGTATTTATCTGTTTCTACCTTAAGGATTGGATATGCATTGGTGCCTGTTACTATTATTCTGGGCCTTATGGTCTTATTTGATTTCTTAGGTGAATCATGACTCTTTGAAGTTTTATAGTTCAGTTAGTCTGTTTATTCTGGATAAATGGTTGGTGCTTTTATATACTGTGGTGCGGCTCGTTATTTCTATAATTATGTTGTTGGTGAGTGGAACCTTTTTCTTTATGTTATCCTAATGTGTTTGTGGATAAATTGCCAAGTTATATAACTTCTCGCCTTGTACATTTTAATAATTGGCTTCTCACATTTTTGTAGAGATTTTTAAATGGCAGGTATGTAGAATGTTTGGAGCTTGGTTGGAAGGTGGCTGAAAGTTATTCTTTGGATCTTTCTTCTTTTTGGGGCTGTTCCTGTAATCGAGATTTAACCTAGTTTTTTTTTTGTACTTTTGTTTAGTAGGAACTCAGATCTTAGGGATTTTTGCTTTCTTTTTTAGCTGTTTGAGGCCTTACTATGCTTGAAGGTCCCTTAAGGACTTATATTATTTCCTTAATTAATATGAAATGTGTATGCCCTCTGTGGGTTTCCAAAATAAATATGGTTAAAAAGACCAACAGGTCCACAAAAACCTATAATTAATTCAAATATGGTAAATGAGCAATTAAGCATTTAGTCTAAAGCAGTAAATCATATACAGTAGGCATTCATAAGACAATTAAATCAATTCAAAAAATAATAAAATTGTAAACGAAGATTGAAAGATAGTAAATGAAGTACGAGTCTTCGAAATCATTAAAGGCAATTTTCATTTCAATTACTCATGAAAATCAATAGAGAATTATAAAAGCAATAAATTAAATTAATCAAATAAAGACTATCAAAAATAAATCATATAGATAATTATTAAAGTATATCATGTTATACCATCTTAATTTTATATATATTAATAGTATCCTAAATCACATGCTCAATATTTTATTATATATGACACATGCTCAATGTATAATAAATTTTTTGTTCAATAAATCAATAATAATATTAATAATAATCCATATCAGTATATATAAATAATGCTTATAATATTCATTTCAATTGTCACAACTATCACGTAAGATTATGTGAGTACATATTTTTTAATATATATTTATTATTATTTTTTTATAATTTATGAACTAAATTTTTTTTCACTAGAAATCTATTTTAAAAAACAATAAAAAAAACCTTATGATTCATTTTGAACGGCTGCAACTTTTTATAAATATAGTAATAAAATTATTGTCAGAAAAAAAACTTTTTTAATTGTTGTAAAAAATATCTTCCTAATATAAAAAATTTTTAAAACAATAAAAAAATAATAGTCAAATAAAAATTATGATTATGATCTAAAAAATAAAATGATCTGAAACAAAACTTCAAACAAAAAAAATTCTATTTTCATCAACTCACAATGATCAGGGAGACGACTTCTGTAGTCAATAACAATTGTAATCAGCCTTACTTAAATCAATAAAAATAAGGGGACGAAGATTGACACGTTCTGAAGTCACAATTCAACTTTCTGAGAAAACTAAACAGCCAACTAGAAAACCCAAAGCTACAAAACTCTGCTTGCTACAAAAGATCAAGCAAGGAAATCTTGCAATTATTGAAAAAATAGTCTAATCAAAATGGCGTCGAGATGGCAAAGTTCATGCATTTCACTTCTTCAAGTGGTGTTCAAATAATGATGCCATCTCAATCTGTTTCAATCAATAGAAAAACGAAAATTTTATGGGTAATATTCTTTAAAAAAAGAAGGCTAGTGTCACTGACATAAGAAGGTTGAAGCTTACCGCAGTTAAGGCAGCCTCTGCTCCCTTATTTCCAGATTTACCTCCAGCACGGTTTATAGCCTGCAATGCATCAAATGTTTAATGTTTAGATATCAAACATACCCCAAATTCTATGTATTTATATATATAATGCATAAATTATTATATTTGATTATAGACCATTTAAGTGATGTGTTTTATTTTATATAAATTAATGTTTGCGATACTTTAGATATGATTTAAAAATTTGAGTGCTATATAGGTAAATATGTAATTTTAGTTACTAAATATGTAAATACAGGAGAAGTTTATGGTATGTCTAAATCCCACAATCTCTATAATAGAAGGGAAGCTATCTATAATGATTCCTTGTTAGTTCCCGAGAGGATAACCGTGTCATTTACCGGAAGTTTAACATAGTTTTATTTTATTTGGAAAGAAAAATGTGTTATCTATTTCAGCTTTTGAGCAAGAAATTTCTTTTGGTTTGGGGGGAGATTTAGGCTTCGTTTGGGACAGCATTCTTCTATAATGCACCGACACTTCTTAAAGAAGCGCACAATGTCGGACGCGCCGAAAACATCCCCGATTAAAAAACTATTAAATGCAAATTGGACACGCGTGTTCGACATGCGTGTCTTAAATATGTTTTGAATTTTTTAAAAATATAATTTCTTGTATTTAAATTTTTTATTTATTTAAAATATAAAAACTAAATTTTCTTAATTTTTATCCACCACTAAATCGATTGTCCCACTCAATATCTCATTCATCAAATATTCTCATTTTCATTTCATATGACGGGTCGCGATTTGGTTACACAAGAATGTCCGATGTCATCTCAACATTGATGTTTGACATTGTTACAATATTGACATTTCAAAATAATCTCAACATCAAAGTCTGTTATTGTCTTAACATTGATGCTCAACACTAGCAAATTCTACACCTACAACATGATAGCTCTAGAAATTGCTAGCTCATCTTTTTTTTACGTCGTCTTAACATCGACCACCAACGCTCTCTTAACATTGACGATAGACACCTGATACTTACTGCAAAACATCAATGCCTGGCTCTCAACATCAATATTGTCTCCTCTCTTAATGTATGATGCACGGCATTGACGTCTGACTCTCGACTTCCTATTATTAATAATTTTAAGCATAAATTCTAATTAAATGATTTATTGTTTTTAAATTATTTTTAATATTATACTTATTCAATTTTTATACACTTTTTAAAATATAAAAATTATAATACTGTGTCCCACCCGTATCCGTGTTCTATATTTTCAATAATTGATATGTCCCGTATTCGTGTTGTGTCATATCCGTGTCTCCATGTCTGTGTCTGTGCATCATAGGCTTTCTTACTGTTTCTTAAAACAATTTTCTAGTATAAAAATTTATTGAACTAAAAATTTTTGTATTAAAAAGATGCTTTAGAAAGCAGTAAGAAAGCTGTCCCAAACGAAGTATTAATATTCATACAGTTGGTTGATTATCACGCAAGTGTTCTCATGTATCATCCAAGAGGTTTACTAACCAGAAAAGGAATGGCTATGCCAAAAAACAAATAACATTTAATACGAGAGCAATTGAAAGCTCTATACCAGTGATATTGTAAAGCATCTTACATTCTTACTGGATGTGTTACTGAAATAATTTTTGGCAGCTAGATCTCCAAAAATAAGCCTTCTAATATGAGCATTTTTCAAAGATGCTGTAGAGAAAATTAGGCATAGAAGGAAATTACCTGCTCCATGCTATCACAAGTAAGAACACCGAAAACACAAGGAACTCCTGCAATGTTGTGAAAAATTATTTTAACTTGATTATTCATTATTGGAAACTAGGGAACCTCTTCTACAAAAATAAGTAGACAACAAAAATTGGACAAGGTGAAAACTTGAAAACAAATTACACAAAAAGAACATTAAATGGTCAACATTTTCTTCTTTCATGTTTGTACACCTACACAGTCTAAAACAAGACAAGACGGTAAGAATTGACTTCAGCATCCAATCTCAACCCAAATATTTTTAAAATATGATTTCTATACGTACACATAACAATTCCTTGATTGACAATAAAGATAGAATCAGAATAATTACTAGATTAAAACTTATCAGATCCATTAGAATGATTAAAAAAAATTCCCCTTAAGATATTATTTCCTAAAACGACAGGAACAAAATGAAGAATAAACAAAGGCAAATGAACCGAAATAAAATTATCATTAAATTAATGTCCAGAATAAGGAAGTAGCAACAATGGTGATGCTACAAAAAAGCTGAGGTAAACAAAATAGATGATACTTGAGGAAATAAAGGGAACTTGTTTAATTTTTCATGATGTGCAAAAACTAATATGATTTAGAAATAGAATGGACAAACCTGAACTTAATCCAGCATTGAGCACTCCAGATGCTGCTGAATTTGCAACAGCATCATAATGGGTGGTATCACCTCTTATCTACAAACAACAGGAAAAAAATCAATTTTATTTGTAACAATATTGTTTTAAACTACCAAGTAAGCTTCTAGTTAAGGTTTGGACATGATATCCGGGTTGCCGAAACTTGTTGCAGACTTGCAGCCAAAGGCTATGTGCCCTTTGAAGTAAAGTTTTCATGTGAAGTGTTGAAGTAAAAGAATAGGGCATTCAATATTAAATTCACCAGCAACACAATGCTTAAATTAGCTTTTATAAGCATTTAGAAAGGGAGTGGAAACATTCCGAGGATCTAAATGAAAAAAGCAATAAAATTCCCGGAAATAAAAGGCATTTTCTCAAGAAACCATAATAAAATTTAAGTATACCTGCATTGTGCCTCTCCTTTAGGACACACGTCTGCCTATTATTAAATGTACTTCACTTCCCACATTCATGCTATGGGATCATTGGCGCCTGGCGAAACCAAAAAACGGCTGAAAGGGGCTTTCACCACCCTTAGATTTGGAGTAAATATTTTAATCTTCTTTATTATGGATTATAGTTGAGAAAAAACATTTTATTTTTTATTATGAATCACTCCATGAGATTCTCAATATTACTATAACTGAGGCAAATCGAGTTTCAGCAACTGCAAGCATCTTCAAATTAAAGAGATCATTGAACATAGAGAATCTCATGGAGTGATTCATAATAAAATTCCTAATTACAACTGCATCTCCAGCAATCACTGTTATCCAATGACATTCATTGTAGGTGATTTCGTTTGCCTCGATATTCTTAGCTGCACAAATATTCTTCAAGGCAAGATTAAGCATGTGCACAACACATGGTGTCCAAAAAATATGAGGATAGGCTTGCTCTCCAAGTAAATCTGCAGCTCTACAAACATGTGCATTATGAGTAATAACCTGGATGATGTTTGAAGGCCCCACCATCATGATAACTTTTTTTATTAAGTTAGAAATGTAAAACTTATCCTTATACTATCCTTCACAGTTTACGACTTTAATAAACATAGGATAGCTCTCTGTTACAGATATGAAGTTGATAAGTGGTCTTCTTTGTGGATCTATCCACCCATCTCAAACCAAAGTAACTCATTTTTCCTTCCAAACTCTTCTAGTAGGTTCTAGCAACTTCTCAATATTATCCCTCTCTTTGAAACAACTCTTCGTTCTAATGACATTATATCCTGATGGCAAGTATCCTGCAAGATTGTTATTGCATGCATATGTAAAGGCATTCTTGTAATGTGGATTCTGTACATACACATGGCATTCCTTGATTGACAATAAAGATAGAATCAGAATAATTACTAGATTAAAACTTATCAGATCCATTAGAATGATTAAAAAAACTCCCCTTAAGATATTATTTCCTAAAACGACAGGAACAAAATGAAGAATAAACAAAGGCAAATGAACCGAAATAAAATTATCATTAAATTAATGTCCAGAATAAGGAAGTAGCAACAATGGTGATGCTACAAAAAAGCTGAGGTAAACAAAATAGATGATACTTGAGGAAATAAAGGGAACTTGTTTAATTTTTCATGATGTGCAAAAACTAATATGACTTAGAAATAAAATGGACAAACCTGAACTTAATCCAGCATTGAGCACTCCAGATGCTGCTGAATTTGCAACAGCATCATAATGGGTGGTATCACCTCTTATCTACAAACAACAGGAAAAAAATCAATTTTATTTGTAACAATATTGTTCTAAACTACCAAGTGAGCTTCTAGTTAAGGTTAGGACATGATATCCGGGTTGCCGAAACTTGTTGCAGACTTGCAGCCAAAGGCTATGTGCCCTTTGAAGTAAAGTTTTCATGTGAAGTGTTGAAATAAGAGAATAGGGCATTCAATGTCAAATTCACCAGCAACACCATGCCTAAATTAGCTTTTATAAGCATTTGGAAAGGGAGTGGAAACATCCCTAGGATCTGAATGAAAAAAAGCAATAAAATTCCCGGAAATAAATGGCATTTCCTCAAGAAACCAGAAAAAAATTTAAGTATACGTGCATTGTGCCTCTCCTTTAGGACACATGCCCGCCTATTATTAAATGTCCTTCAATTCCCACATTCATGCTATGGGATCGGCTGAAAGGGGCTCTCACCACCCTTAGATTTGGAGCAAATATTTTAATCTTATTTATTACATTGAAGATTTTGCCACACAAAGCCTAAATGCATAATTATAATTCAATATCAATTATATTTTAGGGCAAATTATTAATAATATATTCTTTTCTTAATATAAATATATTTATCATACTTTAATTATATATAAATATCATAATTATGTTAATTAATTCAAATATAAAATTTCTACTTTATTTACTTATTGAAGTAGTCGAGGATGATAATGGCAGTTCGAAGATGAAAGTTAGGAAACGGTTGTTGGACAATGGTGGTCCGGTGAAGGCAGTCATATGATGATAATTGCATAAAAGTGAATGATGCAGGACTACGTATGAAATGTTTTAATTCATTTAGATTTTGCACAATTCTTGATTAGAATAATTAGGAAAAAAACTTCTAGCAATTAAAACGACAAGTCAAAACAAATAAGGGGTCACACCCGCTTAGGCCAAAATGCGTAGCAAGAGCTTTGGATCCAACAAAATAAATTCAAAAAATAATACAATGCCAAATAGCAGCGTTTAAAGAAATCCCTAGTCTAACAACGAGAATTAGAAAACATAGAGGTGCACTCAAACCCTACATTTTCTAAGCTTTAGCATGAGCAATGAAGAGGGGTCCGTCGTGACTGCAATCAAGCCAAGAGAAGTTAAACTAAAAGATAAAAGATGCAAGGAGGAAGAGGAACCTTCATCAAGGAGTAGTGGAGATCCTCCACTCGACGCCTTCGAAGTGTTTGTCGATAGCTTCCACCAAGGTATCTAGAATTTGCTCCAAGTAGTCTTCGACGGTGTGGTCAATCCTCGGGTTCACGTCGAAAAAGGTTGATCATAGGATGTCGGTGAAACCGTCTTCGTCCCAAGTTATTCCATATTCAGTCTCCGGATCCGCCAACCATGGATGATTGAAAGTAGAATCTCCTTAGCCCTTGATACACCTCTCGAGTAATAGAAAAGAGAAAGAAGTTTCTCTTGCAAGCGGAGAGGATAACAAACTTCAAGTCTCTTCCCTAAGGAAATCTGAAAATAGTTTCATATTTTTTATTCCAAAAATCTGAGAGAGATTTCAGATTTTAGGAATATGTGTTGGGGAATTGAGAGAGGAAGAAACTAAGGCAACAATTTACTTTGGAGTATTAAAGAGGAAGAGAGAGAGAGGCGGTTTGGGAGGGAGAGAAAGGGGCCGACGGGTTAATGAGGGGGGGGGGGGGGTTTTCCTAATTAATTAATTAGATTAGGAAACAATTGGAAGAATTATGGGGATGGAAATTTCGGCCAAATAGGGGATGAGAGGTTTTGAATTGTTTCTACTAGAGGAGGTGGGGGAATTAGGAAAAAATTCCTAATTGGAGTTCATGATAGGGCCGGCGGCTAAAGAGGGGGAAAGAGGATTTAATGAGGCTAATGAAGGCTTCTTAATTTGGTTTAAAGAAATAGGAAAGTAAATAATTCAATCCAATTTAAATCTTAAATTCAAATGGATTTAAATTAGGAACTTTCCTAAAATAGATTTACTAAATTAGGAAAGAATTTGAAATTTAAATTTGAATAATTTCAAATTCAAATCAATCCCTAAATTAGCCCAACCAAAATAGGAAATCGCAAGGAAGGTGGGGAGAGGAGCTTGGCCGGCGGCTAGGGAGGTGGAGTCGGCGACCAAGGGGCCGGTTATGGGTTTGGCCGTGAGGTTGGGTGGGGGTGAAGGGGCTCGGATGAGGGTTTGACCGTGGGGTTTGGATGAGAGGGAGAGAAGGAAGTCGGGTGAGGGGAAGAGAGTTGGCCGGTGGTGGTGATAAGGGGAAAGAGAACCAAGAGCCACCGGTGGTGACTGTTGGGTACGACGAGTGGCCTCTCCTAAGCTCCACCAAGATCTCTAGCTCTCTCTCTCAAGCTCTCGCATAAGCTCTAAGAAAATAATTATAGACGAAATTCTCATCATCATTCATTAACCAAGAAACAAAAAAACCAAGGGCTATATATAGCCAAGTACAATGGACTCAAGGAAATAAAAAACCAAATTGCCCTTTGGGCTCACACATGACACTTCCCTTTAAAGGGGTACAAACGAAAGAACAAACATGACACTAAGCAGATAAAAAAATGCATAAATAATAAAATAACAGAAATGACTCAGAAATACAAAGACTCGATCGTGGCCGTAGATCGGCGGCCACGCCTCTGATAAACCTTCCACGAGCTGATGTCCCCACCAGTGAATGGATAATGATGGTTCAGATCGAAGTGGTCTGACAACAATGATCAGACAACGACAATTAGATGATGAAAGTCAGAAGACTGGGTGTGGTGATCGTCGGTGTTAAATGCTAGGTAGAGCTCTATAGTTCTTTAGATCTTCAAACTCTTTTCAAATACAAGGGCCCCTCATATTAAAAATGTGTCTATTTATAATTTTTTGATAGCATCATTTTTGTAAATATAGCCAAAATATCAAAACACTCCATTGGGCAATCCATATTGAATCTTTTGATTATAGGTTGTTCATTTATCATTTAAGTACCATAATCACCTTAGAATTGAATAATCTAGGGATTGCTCGATTTATCTTGTTGAGACGCTTGAGTTTGCCAAAAGCATCCAATATTACAAAATATTTTGGCACTACAATTAATATTCTAAAATTTTCAATCATACTTGAAGTGTTTAATTTGGGCTCATTTAAATACAAATTGAATCACTTTTGGTATTGATGGGTTCATCTCATCAATATATTTAGTTAAATTATAATGTTGTTTAAATTAGAGTTTAGGTGCACACACCTATTTAATTATTCAAGTTTTCAATATAAAAATTGCATTGAAATTCGTGCTTCCTTAGATGGTTGTGACGTATTATATATTGATTGATTTAACTTGTCTTAATTTTACCTATTTCAATTCTAACAACTAAATGTGCATTTTCAACACTAAAGATTATCAAGATAAAGATACAAAAATAAGCTAGCAGATTATTTTATACAAGTTCATTTATAATATATACTAAAAAGAATATTGGAAGAAGTTTTTTATATATAATCAATGATTTTAATTTTGATGCAAAAATGAAGCACTAGGCATAATTTAAGTATAACCTATGTTAAAAAAAAGTATAACCTATGTTGCACCGATACGGATATGGCGACACGGATACGACATGATACGGATACGGGACACATTAATTCTTAAAAATACAGGATACGGATACGTCGCGGATACGACATTATAATATATAAATCATGCATAAAAATTAAGAAAGTAATCAAAGCGTGATATTTGAAATGACAAAAAAAATTAAAAGCAACATCATTTGTAGCACTGTATCTTATAATATCAAAATAAAAATAATCATTAAATATTGAAATGTCTAGTACACCAAAAAAAATATATATATATATAAAATGTCCAGCACATGAAGTTTCAACTATTCAATAGAAGGGATGATAAGATTAGCTTCTTCAGTGATTTGCCTTTGAATTTCTATATCATCTTCAATACATATCAAAGCTTCCAATTCAGACTCATCAAGTGAAAGATTAGCAATTTCTAATATTCTCATATCCTCAAGAGATTCAAATCCATCTCCAGCAACATCCCAGATTATGTTGTCTCCTTCCATATAAGTTGGAGTATTCCTTAAGAGAAGCCAAAGGTCTGTATGCAAATAAACAAAATCTTCAGCCCATTGTGGAGTAATTTTATTTCTCTTCATTGATTGGATGAACGAGTATGTGCTCCAATTTCTTTCACAACAAAATGAGGATGAAACTTGGCCAAGCAATTTTATGGCGATTGGTTGAAGTTGAGGTGCTGAAGCTCCATGTATAATTCAACATATTTTTGGATCAATTCTTCACTTATCACACAATAACTCTGGGTCACCAAAGTCCTCTAAATAACCAAAAAATTTAGCAAGCTTAATATTGACACTTCTTCTCTCCTCATTTGGAAAATAACGCTTCAAATATGTATTCGTCGTATTTGAAATTTCTAAATCTTTCTATGGAGAAACTCTTTAAGGATCCTCTTGAAGACATTCTTTAGTTGAATATCTTCAAAAAATATTAAAATAAAATAATGAAAAAATGTTGAAATTACTAAACAACAAATTATGAATTAATAATGAAAAATGTTGAAATTTACCTGGGATTTAGTGAGTGAGCCAAGCAATGTAAAGGTGTATTACTTTTGCTCCACCTATCTTCTAGAATAGCATAAATAACATCCCAAAAGCTTGAATCTTCATGAAGTGTCTTCCTCTCATGTATATATATAATTTCTTTTACTTTGGCTAGCATTGAATCCCACATCTCATAAATGAAATGTAAACAAGACTTATATATCAGCTACTCTCAACATCTCATAAATTGGATCTGTAAAATTTATTATGTATTCAATCTCATCTCACCATAAATCACCTAAAAGATTCTCCTTTACATATCTAGCCTTTCCAACATCATCTTCCCTATAACAGGACCATTTGTCACTGATCACTATAGCTTGAAGAGCATTTTTTTATTTTTTTAAATCTTCTCA